TGATTTAATAATACTTTATTTTTGTCAGAAGGAAAATAGTAAAAATAATAAATAAAGAGAAATAGTTAATAGATTCATTTTACTGAATGCGTCAGTTAAAATGTTTTATTATGATTTTTGTATTATGATTTATTAAAAAATTTGTAATTTTCGACAGTATAAAATATAAATGTAGTTAAAATAATAATCAAGGTATGTATTTCTTTATAGTAACGTTTTGTTTTGTATATGGTTTTTAAAATTTAATCATAATCATGTGTCGCAATTCAAAGTTCAATTTGTTGTAATGATTAGTTTACTCAAGAATAATGACGTAAAGTTCGAGTTTTCTTTGAATGATATGACATACCATTAGCAGGATATTTTTAATTGTTTTTTTTTTAAATCTTTTCTTCCCACTTTTATACTTATAGGTTATGGCTTCAAACATGAAGAATCCTAATGAAGAATCTTTGGAGATCAGCATTCTAGTTTGTAAGCATTAAAAAGCTATAATAATATAATTTACGAAGACCTTCAAAATAATTTCAAGTTAAAGAATTCATCAGATACCTAAGTAATGAAAAATGATTGAAATCAAAAAAAAAATTGTGTTAAATATTTTTCAAAATGTATTTTGAAAATACTGAGTAAGAGTTCATAACATTGTTTAAAGAAAACTGTTACAAACAGTTTTTAACTGTTAAAATACTCTAGAAATAGTTTATATGTTATCAGGTAAAATTTTGTTAAATATGGATTATTCAGAGTGTGTCATAAATTACCTTAACTTATAGTTTTCCTTAAGTTTAACGAATAAATTGCAAATTATAGATAAGTTTGTATACTTATGGAGAATTAATATAGATATAGAGTTGACATAAAAAAATACTTGAAAAATTAAGATAAAAGATTCATTCATACTGTATTTATACTGGAGGCTTTTGTATTTTGGATAACTTGACGGTTAACTATTCAATGTTTATTATTCCTTAATAGCCTCATTTACTACAAATAGATCTAGTAATTTGAATAGATATTTAAATACGCAAGTGTGTAAGGCAAAAAATAATGCTTAAATTTGTTGTTGTTTTTTTTTTTTTTTTTTTTTTTTTTTTGTTTGTTTTTTAGTATTTCCTTTTTTTAAAATTTAGATTCGGCACTCAAAATTGTCAAAAGTTCACCAAAATGACGATCTTATTCCGCTTTTGAAATAAAATTATATATACACACACTACTGAGATATGTCTCATAAGAAAAGTAGCAGAATCTAAAATTGTTAATCCTTCTGCAAGATAATGTGTAAAAAGAAAAAAAAGCGACCGTTAAAACAGATCATTATTGATTGTGGTATCACGAAATGTTTAATAGCTTAGTGAATAAGGTAAAGAGGTTTTACCATTAATGATACGCAACAACCCCCAACACGTACATATTCGTACTACATACGAATAATTTTTTAAATAGACAAGGTTTATTTTACCAGGTGTCATAGAAATAGTATAACACCCTCGTTTATATGAGAATGTTCAACACTATATAATATTAAATCATATTACACTATATCATAATAAAAGTTATAAGTAGAATCAGTTTACTTTTAATTAAATTGTTAAAATTGTATATTTCTTAACCAATTAAAGATTAAAAAAAATAAAAACTTGTTAAGTACCATGGCCTACTTAAATTACACGGCCTGATTTGTTGCATTTTCCGTAAAAAATTAAGAGGCCAGTTTTTTTACGGCTCAAGTATTAAAACTTCATTTTTGTTATGGTTAAGAGTCTTGTTTGCACTATAATTGTTTTATTTTTATTTTATTAAAATGGTTTAATAATAGTTAGATTTTCATTTGAGTACTTACATTATTTTGTGCTGGATTTTCTGTTAACTGATTCCCTGCTTCAGTTTATTCCAACAACACAGAATACTGAGATAGGCTTTCAGATAACTATATCAACGCATACCAACATGCTACTAAAAATAATCTTTCTTGTTGTTAAGATTGCCTAAAACTTTCTATTGAACAAAAAAAAAGGTTTGTACTTTTGTATTTTTTATAATTAAAATTAAAAGAAGAAATTTTTGTTAGAAATGTTTATTTTGTCTTTGACTTTTTTGGAATTCTTTTACTTGATCTTTTCTCAATGAATATGTAATTTTTTATTATAAAAAATATTGTTAACAATACGAAATTTATATTTGATTCCCCATTTTTGGTGATTTTTATTTGTTAAACTATTACTGCTAGATCAAATCTTTAAAATTTGTTTCACAAATTTTTAATTGAAAAAGAACGACTGCAATGTTTTATTAGAGAAATAACATAAAAGACTAAAAAGATGACAAATAAAATTAGACAGGTTGAATTGAATATATAGGTTCTTCTCTTTATAAAGTAACATTTATTGATCATAAGTTTTACATTAAAATCTTTTTGTTAATTTTTACCATGATTACTTGCTTTAGTATATATATCTGTGCTATCTACAAATTTTTCTTAACTGTCTACATAAATACAGTAGTATTTATGTAGACAACTAAGAAATATTTTGCATAATATTTTTTAAGGATTATCAAAATTCTGATAAATATTTTCTGGGAAAATCTGCCTAAATCTTTTTACTAATGTATATTTCTAAAAGACTCACAAAAAGTCTACTACTGGTCATTTAATTATTTATTTATTTGAAAACAACAGAAGGACTCAAAGGCCACTAACACTGAGTGTACATTTTTTTTTTACTGAAATATTAAATTGTATCAAGTGCTGGACAAGTTACAACAAAATTGTATTAACTTGAACAAAGCAGTACAGCAAGACGTTTCTTAAACATCAAGACAGATGATGCAGACACCACATCCTCTGATAAACTATTCACACATTAACAATTCGATTAGAAAAGAAACACTTTGTGCTGTTTAAACTACAATGGTGTTTGTACAGTTTAAAGTTATGACCTCGATTATTCAAGTAAAAATTGAGAATAAGAATGTTTGATAGGTCAGTGTCCAGTTTACCGTTAAGAATTTTGTAGCACAAAACTAAATCTTTAAACACTCGTCGATATTCTAACGTGTTAAGCTTTAGTATGGCTAGATGCTTATCATAGTAAACTGACCACAGACCAGCAATTCTTTTAGTGAAGAAACGCTGCACTTTCTAAACTTTATTAATCAGGCATATAGTGTAAGGTGACCATACTGAAGAGCAATATTCAAGCATAGGTCATACATAAGTACAGTAGGCTTTAACCATCAGCAATCTATCTCGTGAAGAAAAAGATTTTAAAATAAGAAAAGCTCTTGACATAGCTTTATGTACGATAAGATTGATATGTTGATTGAATTTGAGATTTCTATCAATGGTAACTCCAAGATCTCTTATACAGTTAACATGGGCAAGTTCATGGTTATTTATGGTGTAAACACGCTGGGCTATGTTTTGACTCTGGTTAGCAATAGTACAGACAAAGGATTTTTCAGTTGCTATTTGGAGTTGCCAAGTATACTTTTTACTGTAATTATACTTACTAAATGTAATTATACTTACTAAAACCTAGCTTTAAAGGATCACTTTGTAAATTGGAACTATAAACAAATGTAAAGCCTTCTTCAAAAAAAATCACGCATAAGAAATACGATTGCTTGTAGTGTTGTAATTAGAGGACAAGAAGTTTGTTTGGTTAAATCATTTATCAAATTTTATTTTGATGAAATTTCAGTACAATTTGCAATTTCTCTATAAAGTGTGGGTTTGTTATCACCTTTCAAAGCAACACTGCTGAGTTTGATTGGATGAATTAAGTTTCTGCTTTAAATTAAGTATGATAAATAACTTATAAAACAATGATAAAAATTGTGCTGCGTTATTTCTTTCAGAAAAATAAGTCTAAATAACAGCTGCAGTTGTTTCGTCAAATATTGTCAATGTTGACAACTTGTTTGTTGTTTCCAAAATATGTGACTTGATATTATATTTTTATTGCTTTTTCTTGCCTGTTTAATAACTGATCTTTTTATAAACTTTAAGAAATATATTCCCTGTAATGTAATTAGCAGTAACTTCAACAAGAAGAAAAAAACAAAACCCGAGAATAACAAGTATGTTTTAAACACCCCTTTTCTAAACTAAATGTTAAATTTTCCATCTCCAGTATATGCTTTATTAAACAATAAAAATGCATTAACATTTGTAGAATGGTTATCGGTAACAACAGCTCTTATCTTAAATTCAGATTGGTGCATTGAGGTAATATACTCATCAATTTCTTTTTTCAAACATAAACCAGTTATGTAAACTTTAGATGAGGATTTCAAAACATAAGAATAAATTTTTGAAGCCCTACAATCATAAAAACAAAAAACTTCTTTAAAAACTTCTTTAAAAAGATTTTCTCAATCTTTATCAAATCACTTACCACTTTGATAATGGGCTGCTTTTTGGAAGTACATCTTACCCACAAGAAGCAAATAATCTCTTGATACCAAAATTTTGTCAATGATTTTTCTAATATATTATAGTTTTTCAATTTGTAATTTTCACCACTGCGAAACCATTTAAGTAAAGAAATATGATAAGCATTTATTTGGCAATGAAAAAAGTTAGAAATTTATTAACAGCTATTGACTCCAAAACAGTTGGTATGCCTGATATTTCTTGCCTACTGTAAATAAATGGCCTAATTTGTTGCATTTTAATTACTGTATGTTTGAGACATGCAGCATAATAAAGTATTTACATTAGAAAACCTTGTTTTGCAGTGTAAATATTTTAAAGAAAAGTTTATGTTTTCTACTTGATAATTGCAATTATATTAAATACAAAATTACAAACCTTTAAAATTATTTCCAATGGAGAATTTTGAGTAGTTTTAGCAATATGTAAGATTATTTTTAGTAGCATGTTGGTATGTGTGATATAGCTATCTGAAAGCCTATTTCAATATTCTTTGTTATTGGAATAAACTGAAGCAGGCAATCAGTTAACAAAAAAACTAGCACAAAATAATGTAAGTTCTCAAAGAAAATCTAACTATCATTAAACCATTTGAATAAAATAAAGATAAAACAACTATAGTGCAAACAAGACTCTTATCCATAACAAAAATGAAGTTTTTATACTTGAGCCGTAAAAATTTTTTTACGAAAAATGCAACAAATCAGACCGTGTAATTTAAGTAGGCCATGTAAGTACATATGAACATTACAATATTGTAAAATTAATCTAAACTGATCCATATTTTGGGTGGTTAACTTTACTAAATATATATATTTTTACTTAGTTTTTGTTTCCTTGAAGTAATAAAAAAAAAGTAAAACCTCCCAAGATCTAAAAGTTTTTATTTTGTAATACTATTTTTAACTAAAATATTAAAGTTGCGTAAACTTGCGTAAGTTATTTAATCTGATATAATATATAACGTAATATTTTTATGTTAAAACGTAAAGCTTAATCATCGTCATAATTGTCAAACATAAAAATAAACGAATAAATTTATTGAATTAAATCTTTTTATAATAATATACTTATTTTATATAGATTACAGTTTATATCTAGCTAAATATTAATGAACAAATAGAAAACCAAGTTAAGATAAAAACAGCAAATTCTATATCACAAAATGACTTCTCAACAAGTCAGCAACTAATACTACCGTGAAATGGCAAAGGAAGTATGCTACAGTTTTACCATGAGATGGGTTATGTTATATTTCATTACAAGAAGCATGCCCCTACATTATAAACTAAAACGCTATACCATATCTTTATGCTAAAATTATAAATTGGATGTTCTTATATAGAAAGATGTTACGCATTTATTGTTTTCAAAACTTTTATTATTACTTTTCCTAGCATTGTATGGTTTAGTTAACATGCTACTTTTTGTCTAATTACGGCAGAATGAAAATTTATTTTGAAAATTTTGAAACTTAACACAAATATATATATATGTGTGTGTGTGTGTGTGTGTGTGTGTGTGTGTGTGTGTGTGTGTGTGTGTGCGTGTGTCTATATACATATATATATATATATATATATATATATATATATATATATATATATATATATATATATATATATATATATATATATATATATATATGTGTGTGTGTGTGTGTATTTATATATATATATTTATATTTATATATATAAGGGTGTCTCAGCCGCCCCTTATATTCTCAAAAAGATCTGTTCATATTTCTTAAAATTGCTATTGGTTCTCACAAGCAATTCGGTTAAATTTTTTCAAAATTTTATTCGATTCAGGGGAGCACAAGACCCTTGAACACTTACCGGGTCCCTAATATACAGGAAAAAGTTTTTCAAAAGTATGTCACGTTGGGTCTCAAAAGAAGCGAAATTACATAAAAATTTCAAAAATAACAATCATTTTATAAAAAAAAATTTAATTTTTTTATAAAATGATTGTTATTTTTGAATTTTTAATGTAATTTCTTTCATTTTTAGTTATAAAAAGTCTTTTTTCTGTAATAAACTCTAAAAAAATAATTTTTTAATAAAGTGATTATTTTTGAAATTTTTATATAAATTCGTACACACACACAAACATACATGTTTGTGTAAAAATATACTTTTAATATAACTTTTTATGCAAATAAAAAGTTATTTTAAATGCAAATTTCACAAATTATTAGTGATCAATAGGGTATGGATATTACTAAATTACAGGTTGTGGATATTACTACTTTACTTCTTTGCTTTTTGCAGTACTTTTGCATGTAACTAGTTCCATTTATAACGTAGTACTTTTACTTTCGTTACTTTTCAGGCTTATTTTTTACTTAGTAACGAGTTACTTTCATTAAAAATTATAAAAGTATTTGAACTTCATTGGTTTGAATGAATCATATAATACACGCAATTTTACGATACTGACACCGGTACCGCTTGACGTTAGATTCAAGTTGCAAAACTGGCTTGAATCTAACTGACGTTAGATTCAAGCTGCAAAACATCAAGATGCAAAACTGCATATACAACATGCAAGATACGCAACCTAAACACGCATTCCAATAAACGATCAAAGACAATGAATAAAAAAGAATTGGTCTGGAATTCCTAGAGAACAGCAGCAGCTAGCTAAAAACCATGACAGCACAAGAGTAAATTCATCAATTAAAGCAGTCATTGCTGAAATTAAAGTTGGCTTTTTTCAGTTTAGTCAGTTGATACTAGTACTGCTGCAGCATGCTGCTGATAACATTATTTAAACATACATTAGTAGTATCAACTCATCACTTGATGACCTTTATAACTCCACGGTTGAAAATTGTTTTTCTTGTACTAAAGACTGCCTTGCCAGCGATTGCAACCTGCAAACGTTAATTTAGTGTAGCAAGCCAAGTGGTTATACCAAATCGAATTAATATAGTAAATAAACATTTTCATCAATTAAAAACTATTGTGAACCTGTATGTTGTAATAAACATTAACATGTTGATTGAATCAATATCAAGTTTTAATCCGAGATGATTTAAAAACCTGTTTCTTGTTGTATTTATCAGTCTTTTTACTTTGTTACTTTTGAAGCCGTTACTTTTACTTTTTACTTAAGTATTTTTAAAATGTAGGATCCCAATCCTGGTGATCAAATATGATTCAAAATGGGCTTTTGAAAAATGACATTTATATTTAATGGGCGATGGTTGCCAATAGGCATGAAGCTTACAATTCCTAACAAAAAGTTTTTATTCGTTTTATTGGTTTAAGTATATATTGTTTTAAATATACTGATCTATTAAATATAATTATGTATATATTATAAAAATATATATTGGTTTAAATATAATGTTCTATCTGATAATATTAATACGCTAATTTAGTATTATTAGTCGAATTACGTCATTTTCTAGGCTTTTCTATTTCAAAGTAGTTTCTAGGCTTTTCTATACGCGGTTTTTTTTTTTAATTTTATTTACTACCAACGCGTATTACGGTTTGCTTACAGCTAGTTAAATATAATTATAGCATAGTACAATAACTTTGTATGCGTGTAATATATACACACGAGTATGTGTGTGTGTGTGTTTATATATATTAATGTGTGTGTGTCTATGTATATATATATAGATAGATAGATATAGATATATATAGATATAGATATAGATAGATAAATATATATATATAGATAGATATATATATATATATTTATATTTGTATATAGATATATAGACATACAGACATATAAGCCCATTAAAGCACAAGTGGTGTAAGTCACATTCTTGTTTTCGAGATATTAAAGGGTTTGCTACAAATGTTATGAAAGTAGCGTAGAAGTAGTAAGTGCTGTTTTGTTTTGTTTTTGTTCGTTTTTTTTTTGTTACAAAATGAGTATTTTTTATGAAAAATTTTAGTTTTAAATCCAAACTAATATTTTTTATCAAATACGCATTTTTTAACAGCTGTTTTACCATAACTTCAATAGGATTTAATATGCTGGTATAAATTTTATACTTTGGTGAGAAATAAACCAAGAGCTCATTTTTGACAAATTGAGATTTACCAGTCGGCGACTTTTAAAGCCTGTTTACACAGAAAGTTTTTGTTTTTATCAGTAACTGATAAAAACAAAAACTGACCCCCCCCCCTCACTTTCATTAAGGGCTCAAGAATACTCAGTAGCATGCCTAACTCAGAAAATCATAAAATTGGAGTTAGACTGCTTGTGTTTTAATGGGCTCGTATATAGATAGATAGGTATAGATATGAGTCAATTGGCTTAAAGTTAGTATTTTTACATTAGAAGGCATGACATTGTTAACCTCAATGAAAATTTGCAACTTTATATTTGTTCCAATGGTAATTTTAGTTCAAAATAGTCCATTATTTCAACAAAATATGTAAGACTCGTGTGCTGAACGCACATGAGCGCCCGCATGATTTTTTGATGTTTTAACTATACACTTTCAGCCATTGTGCGGACTCCAAATTCAAGTCTGTTTATGCTTACTCTAAAAGAGTATGCTTTGCAAAAAATCGTGGTGACAGAACAAAAAAATCTAAAACGTTTGGCTCTTTAATACACTCTTAAATTTGGAATCAGCACTGTGGGAAATATTTTAGTGGAAATTTGCTTGAATAATCGATGATGATTAAGAAGTGTACAAATAAAAAAGCTCGTTTTATGATAATAAAATGTACAATTCGTGATAAAATCATCGTGTGTGTGTTAGTTTATAAAACTATAATAAATATACAGGGCTTTCGTATATTGTACAATAGGGTGGATCGATTTTAAAAATTTTTGAAATTTGATTTGCCTGAGCTGCGGATCGATGTCTTTTTGTGAAAAAAGAACCTTACTTTTTTTTATTTATTTATTTAAATGAGTTTTAGAGGTTTCTCTTTGGATGACGGATCCTAATATTGTTGAAATTTTTTTTCTACTAAACTATATCAAACTATACCCAAAAGAAGCAGAGTAATATGCTTATTTTGAATATAATATTTGTTTTAATTCAAAACTAAAGAGAAAAAAATGTCGTTTTTTTTCATTAAAAAACCCCCTCTTCATTAAAACGGGGGTTTTAAGGTATATTTTTGCAAATATTTTTTTCACTAAAAATTTTTTTTTTAATAAAATTATTATTGATAAAACAAGCATTTTTTCTGCTTTTTTTGAGTCCAAGGTTGATATAGTTTAGAAAAAAAAAAATTCAAAAATATTAGGATCCGTCAAGGATTTAGAATCCAAAGAGGAACCTCAAGATCTCATCAAAATCAAAAAATATTTTTTTACTTTCATCTTATAATTAATAGACATCGATTCGTGTCTCAGGAATATTGATTTTTAAAGTTTTTTTTTTTTTTTTTGCTATAAAAATCGATCAACCCTATTGTATAAGTATATTGAAATAAGCCATAAATGCAATAAAACTCTAGATAATTACTGAGTGTTCAAAAGAACATTTTTTAATATTGTTGATGTGTTTTTGTTTTATTCATATCTTGATTTACAAGAATTAAATATATATTAAAAAGTTGTATAATTAGTAAAATAATTTTTTTTTGTGTATTATGTATTATTATAGTATTTAGACATCTATTTAATTAAGATTTAAAATTGTTTTTAAAAATATTTTTTTATTGCACTTGAATCGATATTTTATATTGTTACATATAATGATTTTTTTTATAGTGGCATCTTGTACTTGTGTATATTTATTAATCTTGTGTTATTTATATACTTTGTTAGAGTTGTCAGAGTTCAGTACACCGAGGCCACTAGGATCCGTTCATAAACTAAAGATAGATCTGGTCAAAAAAGTTATTACACCTAATTGATGCTGCAAAACCTTGAGATTTTTGCCAACCTTTTACTATTGTTTAAAAAAAGTTGTTCAAAAGATGAAGGACTGAGTTTTTGATTGCGATATTACCATAACAACACAGTACTACTGCTAGGAAATAATACTATACTAATACTAGGAAACTAAAATAAAACATTTATGAGCTCCTTTTTCCTTCTGAAACTTTGAAACTTGACGATTTATTATTCCTTGAAAATTTAAAGAAATGAAAATTATTAAATTACATCTTTAATTTGAACTTTTTTTTTTTCGAATAAATTCGTTCAAAATGTATAACAGTATAAATAATTATGCGGGGGGCATAATTTGTCTTACCGCTAAGCTCCTTAAACTGTATTTTATACTAAGACTATGAAGAAAAAAAAATTTCCTACTTAGTATGAATTTAGTTATGAACTACTTAAATGATTTTTAAAACTTTTTTGCTTTTAAGTATTAATTTTTAAAATAACAAAAATCCATATTACTAAAATGAATGCGGACAGTTATGCATTATCCTGAAGCTTTTCTTTTAAACTAATATATAACTTAAAGTCAAATCTAGATCAAGTTTGTCAGTAGCGACCAATGAAAGATCAAAAAACCTGATGCGCTACGTCGTTTATTTGGTCGGTATTTCGTCTATTTGGTCTAAATATCATTAAACGTCGCAATCGTTTTAAGATCATCAGTACTTTATTCCAAACCTTTGGTCTTCTAGTAGAGAATGCAAATTCAGTAGCCGCAAAATAACTTTTTTCCTGAATGTTGCATTCAGGAAAAACTGTTATATAATAATCTAGTTGAGATAAAACGCCCAGTGTTCGCCATGCGACTCTATGCAAAAAAAAAATAGTACTTGCGCTGGCCAAACAGAAACTCATAAAAAAGACGCAACGAAACGCTGGTGACGTATTTAGTTTTTTTTAAAAAACGGATTTTTTTTTTAATTATGTATTTTTTGACTTGTGCGCCCAAGTAATAAATATTAGAAAAAAGTGAACTATTTGAAAAGATAATTTAGCCATAATAATTTTTTCCTTGATATATTTAAATTCTGTTCCACTTGTAAACATACCTCTCAATGAAAGAAAAAAATGATGAAAATTTCAGTTAAAAAGTTCAAGTGGTTTTCTTGTAATTGCAGCCGGCATATTAAGAAACTTCAAACTGAGAGAACGCGCAAAATGTGAAAAATATATTTAAAAACCTGCAAAATTTAACGTAATATAAAAATATGCAAAATATTACATATAAGACTCTAATTAAAATTTTGCTTTACCTTCATTTTCAAAGCTATTGTCATTTTTTTAACACTTTTCGCGACGTTAGAATTATCTTGTCCTATCTCCACGTTATGAAAAAATTAAGTTATCGAGTGTGTTGAGTACCTCAGAATAATATTTTTCTACTGTATTGGAACCTTAGTTGTAAGTAAAAAAGTTGCGGAAAAAGCATAGGTTATAAAAAAAACTTTTACATGCCATGGTCTGAAGTTTTTATTCTTTAAATCTTTTTAACTCAAAAATGTGGAGATAGATCAAAGTAAATCTAACGTCGCGTTTTGATGACACATTTTTTTACGCAAGTTTCCTAGATAAATCGTCCATTTTGTTTAGATTTTGCTTATGTCGTTTAAACCATTATAAATTAGGATTGACGATTTTATCCCTTTGTTAAAATTAGCAGTATACCGGAAACAATAAGTGACAAATTTTGTTTTCGGTACACGATCAAATTTCTCCATTCAAGGATTCATTTGCATTTGCAAATTTTTCCATTAAAGGATTTATTCAAACCAACAAGTCTTTTTACTTTTTTTTTTTTTTTCATTTTCGAAGTCGGTTTATAACGCACTTCTGAATATGCCCAACACGTTCCAATTTAGTCACTTTAGTGTTATGATAAACATCCTTAACACTGTTGTAGCTTTTGCAACCTCTGTCACCAAAACTGTTTACGTACTTTAATTTATGTTCCTTAATCGATTGATGGAAAATGCGATTGGCTCCTTTGCATTCCATACCTGCAGAACAAATAATATTCGTTTTATAAGTATGGGAATTTTTCATTAGGGCATAAATAGTATGATTTCTTTTAGTAGGGTTCTGATTTAAGGAGCACGCACTAGATACTAGATTTATCACCTACAACTTTCGAACTGTCTATTGAGAGTGCTGAAAACACACCATTTAATGATAGTATGGT